CAGAGGGGTTACCCAGTTTATTGCCCCCAATTCAGCATGTATGATTGCCTGTCCTATGGGCAGGTGGCGTATGTGTGCATTCGGTGCAAGGAATTCCTGGCCCTCAGAGACTGTGTATGACTTTGAAGACCAGGATGGTTCAGCTGGAGGAGCTACGGGAGGCAGAAAGGTACATAGATGAGGCTTTCTGGGACAGTAGAACGGTCCCACCTCCGGGTCTGACAGCCTCTGTGCTGTTGAGGAGGATGAAAGCCTCAGGGAAGGAGAACATCCCACTGGAGCAGAGGGAAACAATCCCATAGTTGGGACCCTCCTTCCAGATGATGTTGTGGTGTCCTCTCGCACTGAGGATCCCTCTCCGAGGGAGGGAACTCCAGTTTTAGGGAGAGACAGCTATTAGTAATGGGCAATCTGATCATTAGAGTGTGAGGCTACATTAACAACGTGTTACCCCTTGAGGGCTCAGCCGAGGGCTAGTTCATCATTTAGCAGCAAGGCATTCCCTGGGAAATATCCCACCCTCTGACTCCACCACCTCAACCAAGCTTCACAGTCATCATTGCTGTGTACAGTATGACATTGTTTGTTTAAAACTTATAGTGTGTGTGTGTGTGTGTGTGTGTGTGTATACAGTACATAGCGGAGGGATGGGGGCAGGGGGGAGACAGTACCACGGTGCACGGGGAGCGGGGAACCAGGCCAGAGACCTGCAAACCCCACAGGACAGCAACCCAGAAATGAGCTGAGCAGGTCATATAACAACAGAAAATTGGAGGGAAGAGAAACTGCTGACCAAGAGCAGAAACTCCCTGAACTGGAGAAAAGAGGATCATGAGAGATGTGGGAGGTGCATTGGGGAAGTAGCTGCATGAAGGCAGCACAACCCCACTGCCACGTCCTCCCCTGCGCCAAGAGTCGGTACGCGGCTGTTTTAGCTGAGTGGGAGACCCAGACCCTCAGATACTAGGAGTGGAAAGGCAGGCCTGGGTGGGGGGGAAGAGATCCAGTCCCAGAGTTGTGAGGGGGGGAGGGAGGAAGAAAGGGGTGTCCCTGGGGAGAGGGGTGGCCGGGGGGGAGAGAGGGGGAGAGCAGTGGACCCCAGGGTGGTGGGAAGCAAGAAGGGGGAAAGGGGTGGCTCCAGGGATGGAGGAGAGGAGCAGCTCTGGGGAGGGGGAGAAGGATGGTGCTGGGGAGAAGGAGGGGGCAGCCTCGGGGAAGGGGTGGCCCCGGGGAAGAAGGGAGAGAGAGGGTCTGCCCCAGAGGGAAGGGAGGGGGAGCCATGAGTGGAGAGGGAGAGGGGGAGGGGTGGCCCCGTGGGGGAAGGGGTGGCCCCGTGGGGGGAAGGGGTGGCCCCATGGGGGGAAGGGGTGGCACCAGAGGGGGAGCCATACAGAGAGGAGGAGAGGGGCGGCCACGGGGAGGGAAGGAGGGAAGGGGAGAGGGGCGGTCCTGTGTGAGGGAGGAAGGGGGAGGGAGTTGCAGGGGGAAAGGGGCAGCCCCGAAGGGAAGAGGGGTGGCCCGGGGGGGTAGCAAGGGAGGGAAGGGGAGAGGGGTGGCCCGGGGGGGGGAAACGAGGGGGAGAGGGGTGGTCTGGGGGAAGAGGGGCAGTCCCGGGGGGCGGGGAAGGTGGGCGGGAGAGGGGAGAGTTGCGGCCCTAGGGGGGGAAGTCTGGTGGGAGAGGAGCTGAGTCAGGATGCCTGGGTTCTATTCCTAGGTCTGATACTTACTGATGATGTGAACACAACAGGGTGTTGGTTATTGCCTCTGCCTTAATTTCATCCTCTCTAAAGTCTGTGTAAACAGGCTCACCCAAAGCACCTTGGGATCTATGGATGACTGGCTGTGTATAAGTGCAAAGAATGGATAATCCATTAGTGTTCGCGATGTCTTTGCAACCGCTTGGAGTCTCCTAAAACATAATTCGGCTCTTCATGAAGGAGGGGCGTGTGCTGTGTAATGCTGACACCTAGTGGAGACTCTCAGCATTGATACAAACAAGTTACGTATTACACCCTAGATCAGTGGTCTCCAAAGTGGGGTGCGCGCACCCCAGGGGGGTGCAAGAGGATCCTTCGGGGTGCACAGCAGGAGGAGCGCTGCCGGAGCAGCGCCGCTTCGGCAGTTGGTTGTTTTTTTTTTGCTAGGGGCGGCAAAAATGGTAGAGCCGGCCCTGCGGCGCGGCAGGGGGTGCGTGCTCAAATTTTTTTTACTGATAGGGGTGCGTGATCAAAAAAGTTTGGAGACCACTGCCCTAGATATCATTAGTTACCATCCTTATCCTTGTACATCGAACAAAACATCCTCATTCACTATCCTGCCATCCCCTCGTTATCTCTGAGAGGTCGGGATGTGCCTGGACCATCTCAGGAAAGTGTTTACATAGTTTCTTGAGAACTCTTGTCTCTGCATCCTCCTCTCAGGACAGGAACGTGCTTACTTGGTTAGCTGACACGTGCTGTGTTACTAGTCTGCCAAGGCTACTCTGGATTGTATTTAGCTCCAGCCAGGCTAGATTATGACTAAAACAGTGTGTAGGGAGCCGTGCTGGGGTCACTCTCCTGACTTAGCATTAATAAGAGCAATGGTGAGATTCCGCCCACCAATCAGTGCTTCTCCAAATTATTAGTAATTTGGGGGATAATATTACTTCATGCTCAACACCTTAAAACAGCCCTTTCATTCCAGGTTGCATCCAAAAACACCACAGAACTCCTTCCAATGGATTATTGACTTGATGCTCAGGAGATGGGTCTATCACAGGAGTGGGTGAGTGAGGTTCTGTGGCCTGCCATGTGCAGGAGGTCAGACTAGATGATCATGATGGTCCCGTGTGGCCTTAAAGTCTGAGCTTTGCTTAACAACTTTCCGTTACTTCCTTTGCAGGAACGTTCCTGGGGCCTATGGACAGACTCTCACACAGCACTGACTGATCAGATAAGTATTATCCAGTCACTCTCCTCTCAACAAACAAACTCAAACAAACTCTAATCCCAGTCTTGGTTCTCTGTAGGTATCATTGATTCTTTAGAGGATCTTTCTGCTCTCTCCAATCAGGTTCAGCTCAGAGACCAGCTCATCATTCGTCCCAGGAAATGACAATCAGTTTATTTGACTACTGGGGAGGATTAGGCTGTCCATCGTCTGCTGGGATATCTGATAATTTGGAAGGTTTCAGGAGTCTCAGAAACAGGCATGAATCAGGTGAGTGGCTTCCCTTCTGAATGACCCCAGGGGATTCAGGCCTGGCGGTTCTGGTGAAGGTTGCAAACCAGTTTAATTTGTAGCTCCCCTGTTCTCGGATGCTCCTGAGTTTGTTGATTTCCCAGAGCTGGGAGGGAATGAGGCCTAGATCCTCAAAGGTATTTAGGTGCCTAACCCAAATCTGGAGGGCTGTTTTAGTTTGATCCCAGCAGTGGGCCTGCCTAGTAGATGGAGTGGGGCCCTCCAGCTGGAAAGAGGTTCTCTGGCTGTGGGCTTCTCTCTCCGTGAGTAGCTGAGAGCATGATGGGAAGCTACAGCTGGTCTTGCGGTTCAAGTGTTCTCAGCCTAGGAGGGTTGTGAATGAGTGTCAAACAGCTGTATTCGTACCTCCCTAATTGAGAGTGGGGTCCAAGCTAGGACAGGGTTGGGGGCCTTGGCAAGGAAAACATTATAAACCTGTCATGGTTATAACGATGCATCTGTCCAAGTATTGAGAGATCCGGAGTGAGTCTATTTGAATAGGATTAATCAGGGTCAGATTAAGGCATAAACATTATCGACCCTGACTCGGGCCCTGGCTCCCGGAGTCATGTGATTACCAAAGACTGGTTTTTGGTTGTTTTTGTTTTTTGTTAAAGTTTTGAGTCCTTGGGAAGAAAAGAATGGAACTGTGACTTGACTGTAAGCAATGCAGAAACATCTGCCTGAGTCTGCAGAGAGCCTGCGACCATTCTCTGAAATTGGGGGAATTGTGCCATGCATCTCAAAGGGGTGTTAGCCCCAAAGCCTGCTGTTGTGGAGGACTCCTGTGAAGATCATTCCAGTAAAGGACCCTGCTTGTAGCAAGAGGGGAAGCATGCAGTGGGCCCAGTTCCTCTGCCCCCATCCAAATAAAGACACCAGCCCCGCACCATCTCCTTGCCCCCTTTGCTCCCCTGCATCTTGGGGGAGAAAGGTGGCACAAAGACCCTGGAATGGGAACTGTGGACTTCTGTGAACTCTGCAACCAAGGGACAATGCTGGGAAGAGGACTGTGGCCCAGGAAGGGCGAAGGGCTTGTGTTATTTTGTTTGGATTCTCGCTTACCCTGGAAGAGGAGGGAGGACATTTGTTGGCATGGTGACTGTGGAGAGCCAAACTGAATTTTCTACCCAATTGCTGAGGGGAAACGGAGGCATGTCCCAAGTTAAACTGAGGAACAGACCCGCTGGATGCCAGACAAGGTAAGGGCCTCTTACAGAACCCATTCTTTAGTAACTAGTGGCTGTTTGGAGTTTTTGATGCACAGTTTTATGCTGCTTTGGAAGGTGGTGGTGGTGTTTTTGTTACCTAAAGCTATTTGTAGCACGAAGCTCTGATTTCGTATGTGGTTATTCAGGTTTATACCACACCATCCCCGTGGTATCTGAGTGCTGTCCAGTGCTCTAGTGGTGTGACTAGCATCAGTCATGCATGGTTCTGTTTTAAGGTTTTGGATTGCTGCCCATCCCCCACAATATCTGAGTATTCTCCATTGTAGCCCAATCTATAGATAGATAGAAGGGGGTGGATGGGGATAGGTAGATTACTTAAGAATCCCCAGTCATCACTTTGAGGGTTGACAGGTTCTTGTCCCAAGATCAGGCCCAGTATTATTAAAATTATTGTATAGTTGGGAACCCCGATGTGCACACTTGCAACACTCACACTATAGGAACTCTTCTCTATTTACAAGTACCTTATTAATACATTTAGCACAGTCACAAACACCCCAACTCAGTAAGGTAGATAGAGGTACTGCAGAGATCCCATATACTCACACCATCCCTTGTAGAACAACCTGAAATATTAGCCATCGTCTTCCTCATGACCATCATTTCCACTCCCTCATCATCAGGGGCCACCATTCTAGCACCTCCCAAGGACGACATCGCCTTCTCCTACTGCCCCTAGGCTGCGATGCCACTTTTATAATATGATACGCTGGCGCCCCTATGTTTGATGCATATTCAGTCAGGGTTTTTCCCCTTTTCCTTATTTGTATAGCCTCACCTTACTAATGTTGGTATGTCCATCTCCTGTAGGTTAATATATCAGTAATTTCAAGCTGTAGCCATGGCCCTCTTGTGGCTGGGCCATGTTCCTGTGGTCAGAAATTCCCCTGAAACACTCGATTTTCAGCTCCCCAGTACTTGAAGTTTTCCGCAGGGCTGTTTATCTGTTCATAGGCCTCAATCCTTGTGCTAACGTCCTGAAGGATACAGGCCTGTAAGTTCCTTGCATTACTACTGACTATAATGCAAAGCAGTGAATATAATAAAGGCAAGCTAGCCCTATGGGCTACACCATGCAAACCAGAGTGCTTTCCTTTATCTCCGGTCCTCTCCCCAGAAGGAGAACTGCCTGTTTTACTTTAGTGTTCTATACTGACACTCTTCATTGTGGTATCTATGTACCTTGCATGTAAAATCAATAGCTAAGCTCCTAGTGGTCTTCATGGAGTCTCTGGCACGTCTTCCTTTTATGGGGAAAAAGCTCTGCTTGGAGTAAGGTGTTCAGGGTTTCGGCGCTGGTTGGCTGGCTTTTGTCAGGGTCTTTTTGAAGTTGGGGGGCAGTATGGCAGATGGAGGGGTTAATGCTCTTAGAGTCATTCTTGTAATAGTGGAAAGGCTTTTTTGAAAAGGAAGGTTTGGCCCCCATCATAGGATCTGGTGCCTCCCATGTAAAATCAATAGTAACTGTGAAGCCCCTTATGGTCTTCATGGAGTCTCCAGCACTCTTACCGTTTGAGTAAAAACTGTGCATGGGGTAGGCTGTTTTCACTTTTTTGAACCGGTGGGTTGGCTCGTTTCAGAGTTTTGTTCGGTTATTTGGGGAGGTGTCCGTGTTGAGTGTCATCATTGTTACAGGGCTTCCCCTCTGTTTGTTGGGGAATCTGTGGTTGGGCACTACTGCACCTGGACCTTTCTCTGTCTCTGCTTGTGAGCTGGGGCTGCCAGGATGACATGCATTATGGAAGGTGTGGGTGAGCCCTGGATTTATATAGTGGCATTATGATAAGAAGACAGAAAATCTCCCTCCCGTCCCTTTCCTAATGGTTCCTAACAGGCTGTTAGCTGGTTTGACTGCGCTGCACATCGTGGCTAGTTCTCTAAAAACATCCGCTCAGTGACTCCAAGATCTTTCTTGAGCAGTAACAGCTAATTTACCCCCCATCATTAGATATGTGTAGCCGGGATTGTTTTCCAACCTGCCTCCTTTTCCTCAGCGTGCTCAGAGGGCTGGGGGCGGGGACGGCGGGTTCGACACCTGCATCCGGCAGTGCGGGCCCTGGTTTGTCCCCGGGTCAGGGGATCTCCCTTGTAGGAAGCGACGGCGGGACGTCCTTCCTAGGCGCGGGGCCCTCCCTACCAGCGCTGATGGGCTCCAAGTCAGAGCCGAGCCAATGAGAAAGGGGTGGAGGGTCTGGCCTATTGGGGAGGATTAGGCTGCCCATTGTCTGCCCGGAGATAGCCGGGCTGGGGCTTCAGCATCCGCCACAGGTGCTGGTTTTCCCATGGGGGGGCTGGAGCAGGGCCCAGCCGGAGACGGGAAAAGGGGAGGCTGGAGGGGGATGGGGCTATTCTCCCCCCCCACGTCATGGCAGAAGGAGGGAATGAAAGTGGAAGCGCTCTCTGCGGAGCGCTGGAATTTCCGGAGCAGTAGCGGCCCTTGGTGCGGGAGGGGAACCGCCCGAGCCGCCCGCGGGGAACACGGGCCCGGCCCAGCGACCTGTGCGGTGACCGCGGGGAGCTCAGTCCGGGACTGGGGGAGGAGCAGGTGAGCCTGGGGCAGCATGTGCAGCTGTAGCCCTGGGTGTGCATAACCGGGAGCCCAAACACCCCCCGCCCGGTCCCAGAGCTCTCAGTGTGGGGAGGGGGAGTCTGCCCCCCCCCCACCTAGCCCCCAGAGCTGTCAGTGCGGCGAGAGGGAGTCTGCCCCCCCAACCCATGCAGAGCCCCCCCCACACACACCTAGCCCCCAGAGCTGTCAGTCATCACCCATGGGGGTGGGCTGACGTCCCTCCAAGCCCTATGCTAGGGGTAATCAATAGGCGAACCACGGGCCAAATCCAGACCTCCAGACACTTTTGAATGGGCCGTGAAATCTTTTTATTTACTTATTATCGTTATTGTTTTTTTATTTTTTGGTATTATTTTCTCTGGCATGTGGATCTTTACTACACCTTGACCAAGTAATGTGGACCTTGACCAAAAATAATGGACCACCCCTGCCCTATGCAGAGCCCCCTGCCCCGCTTCCAGAGTTGTCAGTGCAGGGGGGGGGGAGTGAAACCCCCCACCCCTCAGAGCTGTCAGTATATGGGTGGGAGGGTCAGGACGGATTGACTTAAATTAACCAGATTTTAAATTTCCACTGTTCAACATGATTTAAAGCAGCAAGCCGGTACCTCCATTTAAACTGACAGTTTTAATCAAGTTTGGCATTTTTACTTTTTAGTTACTTTTCCTAAAGGGAGGCTGAGTCTCATAAACTGATAACCATTAAAACATGTATCAGAGGGGTAGCCGTGTTAGTCTGAATCTGTAAAAAGCAACAGAGGGTCCTGTGGCACCTTTGAGACTAACAGAAGTATTGGGAGCATAAGCTTTCGTGGATAAGAACCTCACTTCTTCAGATGCAAGTAATGGAAATCTCCAGAGGCAGGTATATATCAGTGAGGAGATAACGAGGTTAGTTCAATCAGGGAGGGTGAGGTGCTCTGCTAGCAGTTGAGGTGTGAACACCAAGGGAGGAGAAACTGCTTCGGT